GAAAACTTGAAATCGCATCATATGACCCCTTTAAAGAGTGCAAAAATGCCAAAAACAGTGATTAAAAATAGAAAATCTATCAAAAATTCATTCATTTTTAGGATTTTAACAAAATAACCATGCTTTACACATAAATTTCTCAGTACAAATACAGACACTGATGTCCATACCAATACCAAAACAATGATAATTACATAATTTCAATTAAACCGTCCTTTTTTCAGCAGAGGTAGAAAACTAGAGAAGAAAATCAAGTATAAGCTTAATAGGCCAAACTTGAGGAAATGGTGCGATTAAAGTCCTGAGTGTTCTTTTGTATGTAATGTAAATAAGATTTATGAAAGTAAATGAGTGAAATATTAAAATTCCAACAAAAATGCACTTCCCCCCCAAAAAAAATTCTGCTCTTTGCATTAACAGTCAAAATGATCAAATAAATAAATACATAACAAAAAAGTAAATGAACATAAATTGACTACATATTTTCTTTACAAAAGATGGAAAGTATATATATATATATATATGATAATCTTGCTGAGTTTTCACATGTTCATAAAGCATGATAAATCACAAAAGACTCCCACAGTTGTCCAACTGTATTTAATCCACAGTACATACAGTTATACATATGGGATCACTGAACCACCGACCTGGTAAGAAAACTGTAAAGGAGCGAGTCAGTCCAGATCAATATGTCAACAGGAGTGTAAAATGAACCTGCAGTAGTCTCCATTCATCATCGAAAAGTTGTTGGGAAAGTGATTCTTTGAAATGATTTGTACAGCAATCTGAAAGTTTTGGCAACAAACAAGATGGGCACAAATCATACAACCTTTGAGATATTTCACCATATTTTTTTAATTCACTGAGCTTGTGTTGTAAAACACCTGTGCACACTAATCATGACAGCATTTACATGTCAAAAATACTGTAGATGTCAACATTTTAACAGTATTTATATGCATTTAACACCTGTCTTTTAATATATGCAATTACTCAGATGTCAGTTTTTTTTTTAAATATGACTGGATTTGGGATTAACGCTAAGGTCATTTAAATATTTGGTAGTAACAAGTTATATGATGATCTATATAGACAACAGCATATTCGGAATAACTATAAATTGGAGGTTTGTAGTGTGGCCCATTATTGAAGAGTACAGGAAAGTGTACGAAAGCTCTTCTGTGACATGCAAAGTACAAAAGTGGCTATAATCTGGTTTATCTGAAGATATAATACTCGCACACCGGCCTACAAGCGAGGCCACAGATGTTTAAACGGATGTTTGCCATGTAAAAACTGTGGCACAAATGTCGATCACAATATCGTACAATTCCCTGCGATGCAATTTGGAAATAAACCTCAATGGAGCGCATCAACTTGCCCAACACTGGTGGAAAGTAGCTTGAAAACAGGTTATAGAAGTAGGTCAGTTCAGACGGCAAGAGTGTGGAATAACGTAACGGAAATTTGCAATTTCCAGACTAAGAATTTGTTCAGTGGTTAACATCCAAATCATAAAGTAACAACCAAAATGATCTAGATATCAGCGGTACAAGTTCACAAACCTTTCAGCATATTCAATTGAGAACCCTGATATCTAGTACCAAACTAGACACATTAAAACTTCACCTGTGAAGACTAGTAATACCAGTCCAAATGCCATTTCGGAGTTGTACAGCACCAATTTAAACTTGGTTGTTTGGAGCGAATTTATCACAGAACCACTTTCACAATTCCGATTCACATTACGTGGAAATTTCAACACGATAAACCGGATTCCAGAGTAGGTTTCCAGAAGGTCTGCGGAATAAGAGCGTTTTTGTACACGTGTAGGTGCATGTGCTCCTTGCCTCGCTTGTTTGCTGAACTGATTGTCCGTGCGGTGGCGGTGGTGGCGTCGTCTAGAGTTTTGCTACGGAAACACTGTCAACGATTATGCACAAGGAGACACGTAATTGGTCCGTTAAAAGAAGCATTTCAGAACTGTTGGACAAAAGAATAAAGCAACACATGGAAACCTGAAATATCCATCATCTTATGAAGCTACAGAAATAAATAAATTCTGACCGTAACATATCCTATATAGTGAAATTTACATCTTTACAGTATCTACACTGTTTGAAGTCCCATTCAGAACATCCGCTCCGGACGAAGGCCGCGTTCGAAGCCTCCAGGTTCGATTCGAAGAACAAGTCCGCACATGCAGCATGGCTATTCCAGTGTGTTCATGATACAGAAACAAACTGCGTACAGTTTCACGACTCTGTCATGCTGTGCGATTTAAAATGGCGAAAATTAAAAGCACAATTTCTATATACCTCAAATCACTTACATATGAACATATGGACAATACCATTGAGAACTGAAATTTAAAGGACTGAAGTTGATCTAAAATGATCTAAAATCTTAAAAACATTATACATGTGCCGTCGAAACGCTTGGGGAACGTTGCTACAACGCATCGGAAACGTCGGACGTGTTCAGGTTCATATGATCTGCCTGGTTTTGGCACATTTCTTGCGTTTTGTTTTCTATATATCGGAGAAATATATAATCGTGCATATGCACACAAAATACCCTGCCATAAATAATAAGGGTCATGTACTACACGCCAACGTTATGTAGCGACATGAGATGGTAACAAGGACCTCCACTATTCCACTAGTGCAAAAAAAAAACAATGTGGTTATGCAGTTGCAGAACTACAGCTTTCGAAATGAATCGTTTTGGCCGTTGGCGGTATCGAGCGAGTCGAACCGCTGCCCCGGAAATGAGTGCAAAGGATTTCGAGAGGAAATGATCAAGCGAAATCTTGGAAAAATTGTCCGTCATGCAAATACAGCGAGCTGCACGGCGCAACCTCGATGGGAAATTCTCTCCATGTCGACAGCAACCGCAGCAGCGGAAAAGTTTTACTTCAGCAGATGTGGCGTGTGCTTACGATCGTGTTTGGTGGCTCAGATGTGAACAAAACAGCAAAAAGGAAAGAAACGTGACCCAGCAGCCCATGTCGAGGTGGCATCCCGGAGGTATTGCAAGCAGATGGCCTTATAAAGGGATAGCTGTTCCTTTGAGAGTTCGTTGGTGCTCTGAATACGAAGTTAAGGCCTCTGATGACCTGCAGACGGCGTTTAGTGTGATGGGATTCAATCCTTATTGCCAAATGCTGCTGGGATTCGACTCGGAGAGGCTGCCGGGATGGGCCGGCCCAACGGAAACCAATGAGAAGAGGGATGTGAAATGGCCTCTGGGTCTTATCAGCTCCTCGAGTTCATGGCTGCCCTGAGCAGGTAAGAGGAGGCACGTATTTACATGTGTGGGAATCTCGGAAGGGGAATGATGGAAAAAAGCGGGAAAAGTCCATACCCACCCAACGATCCGTTTTCAGTCCCAAAAGTACATTCAATCAAGTCAGAGGCGAGGGCCACGACCCAGAGCGATGCTTAAGGCGCTAGATTTCTGGAAAATGGTTGGCTGCCGGACTAAAAAAAAAAAACTGAAACATGAACAAAAACAATTCCCATGCAACAATGGTAATGCCGTGAGGTTCACTCACAGAGTCTGTTGTAATACTGTGAGACTTCGTCGTGTTCGATCCTGCAGCCCCATGTGCCTCCAGAACGAAGTGCCTCAAGAATTTGGACCTGGTGAGTGGAGCCTATTTTGGGCTCAAGGCTCCGCCCTCGAGTCTGCTGGTTCGGCCCCAGCAGCCGGCGGCGATGCTCATGCTCCTCTGGGCACGTTCTGCCCGCTCGCGGTCGCATTCTGATTGGCTCTGTGCACGTTCGGGACGTCCTATCTGCACGGGCGGCGTGGAGGACGTGGGTTGCGAGGAAATGGTGCGCAACAGGTGATTGCGCTTCCGCAGGAAATCCCCACTGCCGCCAAGCCCGAAACTGCCTTTCCGCAAGACCATGCGAGTGCTGCCGGTCTTGGCTGGTCTCGATCTCTGATTGTATTCTAGCTGGGACAGGTGAGACGCGTAGCCATCGGCGATGAACTGTGGAGAGAGAGCGACAGGTCAGTGAGAGTAAAGCATTTTCGCATTTAGCTCCCAAACTCTGGAATAGCCTTCCTGAAGGCGTTCGGGGTTCAGAAACACTCTCTCTGTTTAAATCTAAATTAAAAACACATCTCTTTAGCCAAGCATTCACATAATGCATCTCATAACCTTGTACTTCAGCTATATTTGATCAAATGCACATTATCATTCTTTTGCTTGGATTGAACATAATTTTTGCTTCTCTGTTTCTGCCACGGGATTGGCATCCCGAGGTAACTAGGAATTACACAAGCTTCAGCCTGGATCCAGCCCCTACGAATATCTGAGATGAATGAACACCTGAGAAGAGATGATGCAAACCCCTCAGAGGACCTGAGATGATGCCAACCCTGAACCAACATACAAAACTACCAAATTTTGCTATAAGTTTGAATGCAACCTATAATCGTTGCTGTTAATAGTGGACACCATCTGTTTGATTACGTCATTAACTAACTGCATGATCACTATACATTTCTGCCATATGGACATTACCTCGACATAATCACCACCGATAAGCTACTACTAAATATAATGTAGAAACTTTCATTTTCTGTAAAGCTGCTTTGCAACCATTTGTACTGTGAAAAGCACTATACAAATAAACTAGAATTTAATTGAACTGAGAGTGCATAAAAACTTAAAGTAGAGAGGAAAAACTGTGCATAAAGATACCTGACACTGGTGCTGCATTTTCTTCGTTGGTCTCCCTACGATGTAGATCTGTGATGGCGGTAGACCCAGTGACGTGTACACAGATATGTCCTTAGTGGAGCCATAAGCAGCAAAGATCTTCATATGTGCCTACAAAACAGCAGCATGATTTTTAAACATGATTAAACAGTTTAAATATAAGCAAAGACTGACACATTATATGTCTAAGATCCGTTTGAACACCCTCCATGTCCTTTTAGGCTCTTGTTTTGATCATTCCAGTTGGCATACTCTCCATACTACATACTAGGGCTGGGCAATATGGCCAAAAATATTAATCACAATATTTATTTCCACATAATTCAATATTTATAGCAATAATTATTTCAAACCATTAATAAGGAAGGAAATGCATTTTACATTGCTCAATGAAATCTCCATAGGGCCCCATTAAACCCACACTGTTTTATTTTTTCCCAAATTCTGATTTCCATTTTTCTCCAAAATTCTGTTTTATGATTTAATATAAATTTATTATCAAAAATGTTTATTTTAATCTTTAAAAATGTAATCAAAATGAAAATATAAGAATTTATTTTTGTAATAATTTACAAAAACACTGCATTTTTTTTTTTCAAATAATGTGCTGCACAACAGAACTTGTATACTGTATAAATTAAAAATTAACATTTCTTGGTTGCATGAAATTCTTTATAATAATAATAATAATAATTCACTGCAATATTTTAATTAATTGTATTATAAATAATTATTAATTGTATTATTTTTTTGTTAGTTTTATCCATATACAAGTATACTATGAAATATTTATACAGTCTATACAAATTTATAGAGTTTACATTATTACTTTGAGAAATGCTTTTTACTATACAATAATGATATACTTCTATCATCATTTCTTCACAGTAAATAAAACTTTTATTTTGGCGGTTTGTCGTGAAGACTGAGTTTCAGTGTCTGGTGGTAGTTTTATCAAATGCTAGTGACGTGAAGCTCTGGAAATGTAGTTCATGTGTTCATGTCTTTACATATTAAGACTCAGATGCTGAAAACAGCACGAGCGTCAGGCATGCTTCAGTATGTGTAGTAGACGAAACTGCGCCACTCATTCACAGAGACACGCAGAACACGCAGACTTTTTGTAACACAGCTGATCGAAAATTACTCAAACGTGTATTATCAATAATCGTGAATTTATTTATCCATTTCAATAAATACTTACATTGATTTAAGGTCAATGCATTCCAAATGATAGTAATTTATTACCCACATCCCCTTGCAGAAGAGTAGGAGTTTGTGTATATTCTCACCTCTGTGATGAGAGACTTGAGGAAGTTGGCTTTGTGTCGGAGGGGGTCATGTACGAGCCCGTCACAGAAGGACACGATCCCGTGAGGGAAGTTGTGCTGTGAAAGCCAGGCCACCACACGCTGCTTCTGCATGTCTGGACGTCCCGTCACGTACACTATCAGGTACCCCAGATCCTGCCAGTGCCTAAACCAGGACCAACCACCGTCAGGAACAGCAAACATTACAAATGACTGGCTTGGGAGCATTAACCCTCTAAAGCCTGACATATGAAATTATAGTCAGAAAAAATGGAACAGTTTATTGAACCTTTATTGGCTCATATAGTGGTATAGTGACAATTGGAGCTCGTATTGTGGAGGGGGAAAAACACCTACATTTTGTTCAGTGGCTCAAACAGAGCAAAAATATGCAATTTGGAGCAGATGCTGATATTTATGTCTTATAAGATGAAATTCTGATAGCTTGTAGTATAAATCAGTGAGATCTTTAAAACAGAATAACACGCTACTTACACAAAACGCATATAAATATCAGTTGTCACTCCATATCTCCAATAATATGAACTTGGTAAAATGAGATTTAAATGCTTAGTTTTAAGATCAAAGCTTTGTTTCAACACATAATGCCATGCAATACAATGATGACTGAGAGATGAACAAATAAATGTTACTCAAAAGCCTGATGATCATATTTGAGTTATATCTGATGATTATACTCACATTTTAGCTTGATTTGTGCAAAAAAAAATAAAAAATGATGCATGGATAAATTGCTAAATTGCTTCAGTCCAGTAAGTGTTCATCTTGAAGTTATTCTTATGTTCACTATGAAAATCATTAAAGATTTAGATTTATACTAAAAGGCCTATTACTTGCTAAAAAAGTATGAACTATCAACAGCTATCAAGATAATTGCCCTTATTTTATTACATTAAAATATTGCCAAACAGTAAAATTTTATATAATAAAGATAACAATTTTGTAATCTTCTAAACGTATTTAAATAACTAAAGACGTATAAAAACAAATAACATAATATATAAAAATATTTTAAAATTAGAAATTATACTGTATTTGCCTAATTTTATTAAAAGGAATGGCTTTTCTAGGATAATTGCCCTTATTTTATTATATTAAAATGTTACCAAAAACAGTAAAGTTTAATATAATAAAGGTATCGATTTTAGAATAACCTTTTAAATGTATTTAAATAGCTCAGAAAAAATAAATAAATAAATAACTAGCAATATAAAAGTTCTTGTTTACTTTATAAAAATCAAGCTTTCACAGCAAAAAGACACATGAACCACAACCAGATGTTTTTACAGTCATGCTAAAAGCCTTGCTAAAGGGTCTAAACTATCAATCAGACAACAGAAGGCATAAGATTGTGCATAGGCACAACAGTTTTTTCAGTAAAGTTTCAACCATGTCGATCATTTAGAGAAATTTGCAGATCAAATGCATTAGGCTTTATAGAGTTTATAAATTCATAAAGAAAAGCCCTCACCTGACCACATCAACCGCTCCTGCTCGCACTTTAGGGTCGCTGCCCATGATGGACACGCTGGCGGCAAACGAGCCGTCGATGCTGAACACGACAAACTCAGTGCCGCGCGGCAGCACCGTCAGGTAACTGTCAGCAGATGTGTGGTCTCCCCTTCAGACACAGACAATATCATTCAATTGATGAAAATACAAGCTTTTCTGCGCAGGATAAATGTAGATTTAAGATGTACCTGACCACCATTTTGACCGGATACACGCCGATGCTCAGCCGCTTGTTCTCGGGAATGGTGTAGAAAACCCGGCCGCTGCTATTGGTCAGTTCTGTGCTGAAATACACCCACTCACCGGACGGAGGCTGGGTCATGATGTGGATGTCCACCTAGAAAACGGCACAAAAATTAGATGAAATGAATTAGCAGTGAAACCAAACAAGATGCTTTTACATCAAATATTCCCTCCTGGTGGAATGACCTGCCCAACTCATTCAGAGCAGCTGAGTCCTTAGCCATCTTCAAGAATCAGCTAAAACACATCTCTTCCATCTTTATTTGACCCTCTAACTCTAGCACTCTCTATTCTAATTCTATTCTTTAAAAAAAAAAAAAATTGCCCCTTTTAGACTTGCACTCTATTCATTTAATAACTGCTTGTTTTCTTTAAAAAAAAAAAAAAAAAACTAGCTTCTCTATTCTTTTTGTATTCTATATATTTGTTATCTTTTGATTTATTATACAATTAACAAAAAGCAAAAAATGCCTCTAACACTAGCTTGCTCTATTCCAGCGGTGCCCACACTTTTTTTGTATGGGGATCTACTTTTCAAATGGGAAACTCCCCGAGATCTACCAAGTGGAAAATAAAAAAATAAAATACGCGTAAAATAAATATATAAAAAGCTTGTTGGGATGTATCTTTATATTGCATTAATTTAATTTAATTTAATTTTGAAATAAAAAATAATAATGTTAATTTCTTAGTAGGCCTACCCGTAGTAGCCTTTAGTGTTATTTCTTTTCAATTCCATGTAATTATTTTTAAACAAAACAAATTCAAGACAGATTGAAACATACTGTTTCTTTTTTGTCACTGCAGACATTCTATACAACTTAAAAGTACGTAAAGCTCAATTATACAATAATTGTAACAAATAAGCACAAGTCAACCTGCCATTCCAAACAAGACCACAGGGAGACGCCAAAGGACTGCATATAAACTACTATGGATCCATTCAGGATCACTAAACACACCAAAAAATACAAATGAAAAATAAAAACATTCTGAATGTGTGGAACCTCAGCGATCTGAAGGTGGCTCGATGTCATCAGTGAATAGTTCTGTTAGGAAACATTCTGTGTTTGGAGTGTCTGATGCCCATATGTAGGCTACATAAACACCACTGATCCTCACAAACTTCTCCAAAACGAGCATCTGTTATAATAAAACACTCACTATATACAACTACGTGAATATACTGAACTGTGTTCAAGCAGAAATGTTATAGTGATCAGTGCGCTACTAGCGCACAAACATGGTTCAGTTGCTTTGACACAATCTGTATTGTTAAATGCGCTATATAAATAAAGGTGACTTGACTTGACGGTTCGTTTGCGCATCAATGTTCGACTCCTGTATCTGTCACTAATCGTCTTTACCTTGATTACAGTCATCATCCATCAAAACTTTACTAACGTGACCCTGGCTTGATTAATCCAGCCGGGAGCTGTAGTTTGCGTATCATATGCTCATACAGCAGTAACTTAGGCTGTTTCACACAGCGCGATGAGAAACAGCTAGAGCTGCTCTGAAACACAGAATATCACAGAATACGTAGAGAAGTGGTGCTGTTATTTATTTATATATATTTTTTTTTAACATATTAATCATAAAATAGCCTAAGTGAATTTATTACAGGGCTGGGCGATATAGCTAAAAAAATTATCAACGATATAATGTTTCATATCGTTCTGTATCGATAATTATTGACATTTTTTATAACCTTTTTAAAACAAAGCACAATAGAAAAAAATGTTTACATTTAACCACTGTGTTTTTAATTTACCCAATTTATTGAGATAAACAATTTTGTTTTAACAGTCAAACACAATATAAAATGTAAACAAATATCTTCTTTCTTATGTGTTATATGCAGATTAAATAAGTCTTATGGAAACTTTTGGCTTGTCTCCCGAAGCCACAGGAGGGCGCAATGAGCAAAACTATGCAGCGTATTAAATTGTCAATGCAATGAAATAACTGTCCATAACATAACGTCTAAAGTAACATATATAAATCAAATATAATTTCGTAAATTGCATAAACAATTATGAACAAAA